CCACCAACCTCCGGATCCAACGCATCATCCTCCGACACTTCCGCCATCTGCAATCCGACCCCACCACCAAAGACATCTTTCCCTCCCCACCTTTATCTGCTTTCCGGAGGGACAACTCTCTCCGTGACTCCCTTGTCCGCTCCACACTCCCCTCCAGCTCCACCACACCCGGCACTTTTCCCTGCAACCGCAGGAAGTGCTACACCTGCCCCCATACCTCCTCCCTCACCCCCATCCCAGGCCCCAAGAAGACTTTCCACATCAAGCAGATGTTCACCTGCACATCTGCCAATGTGGTATACTGCATCCGCTGTACCCGGTGTGGCTTCCTCTACATCGGGGAAACCAAGCGGAGGCTCGGGGACCGCTTTGCAGAACACCTACGCTCGGTTCGCAATAAACAACTGCACCTCCCAGTCGCGAACCATTTCAACTCCCCCTCCCATTCCTCAGACGACATGTCCATCCTGGGCCTCCTGCAGTGCCACAACGATGCCACCCGAAGGTTGCAGGAACAGCAACTCATATTCCGCTTGGGAACCCTGCAGCCCAATGGTATCAATGTGGATTTCACAAGTTTCAAAATCTCCCCTCCCCCTACCGCATCCCAAAACCAGTCCAGCTCGTCCCTGCCTCCCTAACCTGTTCTTCCTCCCACCTATCCCCTCCTCCCACCTCAAGCCGCACCTCCATCTCCTACCGACCAACCTCATCCCGCCCCCTTGACCTGTCCGTCCTCCCTGGACTGACCTATCCCCTTCCTAACTCCCTACCTACACTCACCTTTCCTGGCCCCATCCCCGCCTCTTCGACCTGTTTGTTTCCTCTCCACCTATCCTCTCCTCTATCCCTCTTCTATCCGCCTCCCACTCTCTCCCTATTTATTTCAAAACCCCCTTCCCCTCCCCCTTTTCTGATGAAGGGTCTAGGCCCGAAACGTCAGCCTCTCTGCTCCTATGATGCTGCTTGGCCTGCTGTGTTCATCCAGCCCTGCACCTTGTTGTCTCGGATTCTCCAGCATCTGCAGTTCCTACTATCTCTGCCAAAATTCATTGTTTGTATTTAATTTTGTGAATTTTGCCTATCTAATTTTGTGAATTTTGCCAATTTACTGAAGCCATCATCAACTGATGACATTTGGTGGCTTTCATGTTGTATTACCTATTGCATTGAGTCAGGTCCAAGCAGATCCTAATATTCCCATTTGGTTTAAAGACCAGTGAGCATAAATATGCACCATTTAGTAAGTACTGCAAGAGGTGAAGTTACCTCCCATTTTTACATTCTTTCAACTTCTGCCTTCACTTTACGAATTATTACGTGTGCAACCTTTCTTGGAGTAAGATAACAAATTAAGTCTTGCATATCCTTACAATGTAATATGGTACTTATTTTTAAAATCTATTCATCCTCAGAAATAATGTATAAATTTTTTCCCTATATTCTGTATTGCTTTTAAACCTTAGCATTTTCATCTTGTAAATTAAAGTTCAGATCTCGAGCATGGTTTCCTGTTGAGAAATAAAGATTATGGTGCAGTTATTTCTTGGTCTTTATATTGTAATATTGTCAGAATCTGCCCCTTAACTTTCAAATTGATCCCTCATGGGTATTGTAGTTTTTCTGAAGAAGGTTTTAAGTTTATCTGTTTTAATCGTTTATCACACAGCATACTAAGTTCAGCCAGGTTTTTACCTTAAACTCTACATCGAGATTTATCAAACAATATTTGCTGTCTGGGTCATTGATCTTTTCTAGGATGTTTAACTTCTGTGGCTGCAATTTTCCTATTGCTATCACTTCTACTGAGCGCTGTTTTGGAACTGCAACAGTTTCAATTGACCAGGTTTACTGCAATTGTAACATTCAGCTTCCCTTGCTGGGCAGTCAGTTGCTCATGTGATTTGTTTCTGCCATATCTGAAATATTTCAAAAATGTAACTTCTGCTTTGATGTATTTTACACTTTTGAGTCTGTAAATTGCACTGATTTTTTGTTTTCTCCATGAAGCCTTTGATTCTCTGCAAACCATCACTTGATTTTGCTTCCAGATTTTGGACTGCCTTGCAATCAATACCGTCTCCATTAGTTTCAAATCCTCCTTTAATTACAATAAATCCAACAATTCCTCATATCATCTTGATGATTTTGTGGTCGCATATTAGTTCATCTTTTTGATAACCATATGCATAAATACCTAAGAACCTATGTAGATTATTGATAAAGGAATTAATGTCCTCCTCTGGTCTCTACCTTTGTTTATTATAGCTCATTCAAAAGGTTTTACAGATATTAAAATACATGTTGAAGGCATTCAGGATTTTGCTATAAAGATGATTAAATCTTATCTACCTCTTATCAGCAATGGCTCTGGGTGCATTTAAGGGAAGTGATGGCCTACTGGTACAATTGCTGGACGATTAATCCTGAAACGCAGACAAATTTTCCAGGGATCCAGGTTCAAATCCCGCTACGGCAAGTGGTAGAATCTGAATTCAATAAAAATTTGGAAATAAAATTCTGATAACAACATTATTGATGGTCGGAAAAGCCTGCCTGGTTCTCTAGGAAAGGAAGCTGCCAGCCTTCTCTGGTCTAGTATACATGTGACTCTAGATCTACAGCAATGTAATTGATTCTTAACTCCCCTCTGGGATTTTAGTGAAAGCTAATGGGCAAAACAATTCCTTCCATGTTAGTCTTCTGCAGTCAGGAATGGCAGCAGTGACATGTTCCTCTGGAGTCCTGGAACGATGGCTGCTCAAAGCTCTGCTGCTGTTTTCCATTTCAGGAATCAGGATTGCAATAGCTACTCCCTAGTGAGTTTGATTTTTTTTTCCCCACTGTTCCATTTGATTCTGTAGGGCCCTACATTTGTATCCTTTCTTCAAAGCTTGCTACTGTTGGACTAGTCTTTACTGCCTTTAGTTATCACCTGCTACCATCATGTTTTGTCTTCTGGTTGGAGTAATGGTGTGGCTGAATGATTTTGCAATGACTGTTGTAGTGCAAGTAAAAACAACTTTTCATTTGCAGAAATTACACATATACAGCAACAGCAAATTCCGAATGTCTCCTCCATAAGATCTCTTTCCAGCTCTTCTCAGCCACATGATCTTACACTATCATTATATCGTAACCTCTCAGGCTCATGCTGTTAACCTATTACTCCACAGCTGCGTGAAATATGCCTAGGAAAATCCTGAAAGTTAACTTTTAATATTTTACTTAGGCCTGAAGTACACCTTGCTTTGTCTTTCTTTAAATATGAAAGCTCACAGTGTAACTACTTTAATGGAGTATAATGAAGAATCCACATAGGAAAAATAAAGTACATTCCCTTTTTATATATCGACTCACTTCTGGAATCACATCTGTAATGTTTTATGCCCTTTACCCAATCTTTACTAAGTAGTTGCTTTGTTTTGAATTCCTTGCTCTTCCTCACAAGACTCAACACAATAATCTTTTTTCTCCAATGAATAGCAAAACACTACATTGTATAATAGCAAATTACTTTTGTGGATTTTTGTTTGAGTTTGTAATGTTACAACATTTCAAGTAAAAAAAAAAGTTTGAATAAAATGATAAAGCATGGTGCAATAAGCAGCAGTTAATTGAAAACATAATTTACAAAGCTACTTTATCACATACATATATAAAAGAGAAGATTTTAGCATTAGACAATCATGTCAAATGAGGCTTTTGAGACCATGTCAACACACCTCGGGATCGTGATCTTCCCCTTCCTCTCAGGTTTCCTTGTGCGTTTTCACTGGCTTCTTCAAACCACCTGGACAACATGTCTGACATGCGCTGCATTAGTGACACATTAGGACTTTGTTCGCCTGAAACATTAAAGAAAAGTCACTTAAGAGATATTCTCTAAATAATCTACCATCCCCATCAGCATCCACATCCAGAAAATCATCAGACGCCATTTCCACCACCTCCAGCAAGATGCCACCACCAGACACATATTCCCCTCCCCTCCCTTGTCCACCTTCCGCAGGGACCGTTCCCTCCAGGACACCCTGGTCCATACTTCCTTCACCCCCAACACCCCCCCACAGCCCTATGGCACCTTCCCCTGAAACCGGCGAAGGTGCAACACCTGCGCATTTACCTCCTCCCTCCCCAGTATCCAAGGGCCCAAACAGACCTTCCAGGTGAAGCAACACTTCACCTGCACTTCCAAGAATCTAGTCTACTGCATTTGCTGCTCACAATGTGGTCTCCTCTACATTGGAGGAAATGAAGCGTAGACTTGGCGACCACTTCGCAGAACATCTACGTTCTGCTCGCAAAAAAGACCCTGAACTACCTGTTGCTTGCCACTTCAATGCATCACCTTGCTCCCTGGCCAACGTCTCTGTCTCCGGCTTGCTACAGTGTTCCAGTGAAGCCCAGCGCAAGCTGGAGGAACAACACCTCATTTGCGGCTTGAGGACCCTACAGCCCTCCGGACTCAATATTGAGTTCAATAAATTTTAGGGCCTAAACTCTCCCATGTCCCAGCCCCCCACCCCACACACCAGGCCTTGTTACCACATAGCCTGTCATTACACACCCCCTGTTGTTTGTCACTAACAGTCCCCATTAACAACTATTCACCCTCCCAGCCTGATCGTTAGCAACTCCTTTGTCTGTTTACCTGTCTTTCTCTCTCTTTGGGCTCTATCCTATCGTTTACTCCCTACCCCACCCACCTCCCTTTTTTCTGCATATAAACTGATGTTTTCCCAGCCACCATCAGTTCTGAGGAAGGGTCACCGGACCCAAAACGTTAACTCTGTTTTCTCCTCCACATATGTTGCCAGACCTGCTGAGCTTTTCCAGCAACTTTGTTTTTGTTCCATTCTCTAAATAAATGTTGGTATTCTGTGACTAAGTATTTGAAGGCTGAAAAGCAAATAAATTTAATTCGCTCTGACAAACTACAGCATTGATAATATCTTCACAATTATTCACTTTGAAGTGTATCACCACTGGAAGACATTTTCATGATTTGAAAATCTGGGGCATCATGATCATGATATATACCACAAGAGGTCACTGGACCAACAGTGCCTGGGGAAACTCTATAAAATGTATCCAGTTAATCTAACCCCTTCTTTTTCCCCAACTCACTTTGAAAGTTAAGTAAAATATGTAATTAAAATATCTGACTTACTATTTATATAAAATGATCCGTTTTTAGGAATGGAAGGAACACAAGATGAGGAGAAGCACAGCAAATTATGATTAAAATCATGAAAATAGTAGATCCATTGGTAGATTGGCAAAACTTGTAAATTAAATAAAGTTATAATTTTAAAAGGAAAGGAAATAAACCACTGAATGATAAAGTGACAAAAATAGTAGACAAGCAAAGGGATAACATAATGTGGAGCTGGAGGAACACAGCAGGCCAGGCAGCATTAGAGGAGTAGGAAAGTTGATGTTTCGGGTCGGGACCCTTCTTCAGAAATGGGGGAGGGGGAAGGGAGCTCTGAAATAAATAGAGAGAGGAGGGGTGGGGCTGGGGAAGGTAGGTGGGATGGTGATAGGTCAGTGCAGGTAGGCAGTGGTGGGGATTGGTCAGTAAGGTGGGAGGAGCAGATAGGTGGGAAAGAAGATAGGCAGGTTCTGTCATGTCAAGGAGGCGGGGATGAGACCAGGGGTGGGTGGGGGTGGATTTTGAAACTGGTAAAGTCCACATTTAGACCATTGGACTGTAGGCTCCCAAGGCGGAATAGGACGTACTGCTCCTCCAGTTTCCAGGTGGCGTCACTGTGACACCGGAGGAGACCCAGGATGGACATAATCACCCAGTGAGTGGGAGGAGGAGTTGAAATAGTTTATGACCGCAAAGTGTTGTCATTTGTCACGAATAGAGTGCAGGTACTCTACAACACGGTCTCTGAGCCTCCGCTTGGTCTCACTGATGTAAAAGGAGGCCACATCAGGAGCAGCGGATGCAACAGACCACATTGACGGAGGTGTCCGTCTTCTCTCCCACTTATCCGCTCTTCCCACCTCACTGACCAATCCCCACCACTGCCTACCTGCACTCTTCTATCACCATCCCACCTACCTTCTCCAGCCCCACCCCTCTTTCTCTCTATTTATTTCAGAGCTCCCTTCCCCCTCCCTCATTTCTGAAGAAGGGTCCCGACCCAAAATGTCAACTTTCCTACTCCTCTGATGCTGCCTGGCCTACTGCATTCCTCCAGCTCCACACTGTTATCTCTGACTCCAGCACTGGCAGTTCTTACTATCTCTAACATGCAAAGGGACCTTGGTTTGCAAATATACAGGTATCTTAAGTCAAGGCTATCATTGACTAAGGTTGTAATGGCATTGGATGGGAGCAGATTGAAACAATGGGAATTTGATAAATGGAAGTTGAATTGAATTAGAATCCCTACAGTGTGGAAACAGGCCCTTTGGCCCAACAAGTCCACACTAACCCTCAGAGCATCCCACCCAGACCTATCCCCTTATAACCCACCTAAATCTACACATCCCTGAACACCATGGGCAATTTAGCATAGCCAATCCACCTAGCCTACACATCTTTGGACTGCGGGAGGAAACCGGAGCACCCAGAGAAAGTCCATTCAGACACGGGGAGAATGTGCAAATTGTACAGACAGTCGCCCAAGGCTGGAATCAAACCGGGATTCCTGGCACTGTGACGCAGCAGTGCTAACCACCGAGCCACCATAGAGCAAGAAAAAGACAGAAACACACAGTCTCTGGGGCAATTGCTTCAGAAGCTGAGAAACAGGGGACAACTTCGAGAGAAAATATAGACTAACCAAAAGGTACAGAAACATCAGAAGAAAATGTTGGAACAGGAATGGTCAAAGCTATAGCTATGGGGTGGTAAACTATGGTATACAATGGAAGTGCAATAGATCTGATCTAAGTGGATGCCAGGAATAAATAATACAGGAGATTCTTAGAGAAGGTTAATATTCATGGAATTAAGGAGAGGATAGTCAAGTAGATTAAACATTGTTCAGAAGAAAGTTATAACAGAGTTGGAGTTAAGATCAAATTTTTCCAAAGTGCCAGAACTGAATAGCAGAGTCCCATAATGATTAGTTCTAGAATCACTTATATTAATAAAGTATACTGATGATTAGGACACAGGGCTAGACAGTGTCAAAAGTTACAGATAATGTCAAAATAGGGATATATAGTTAATTCTTTATAGATTGACAAGCTGCAAAGGGATGATGATAAAATAAGAGAATGTAATAAAGAGTGGTAAATAGATTTCACAAATCAGTGGATGTGACGCTGGTTATAAAAGAAAAAGTACTTGTATTTCAAATGGAAGTAGGCACAATACTGTGGAAAACAAAAAGAATCTGTACTCCAAAGTCCTAAGGCATTAAAGGTAGAGGTATCAAACAGAAAAAGCCTTGAGACATTGATGCACCCTACAAAACATTGACTAGATTCAGTTAAGGTTGTATGCATAGCATTTGGCTCCATATACAGGAAGTATATTACGGCTTACAAAATATTTCTTGGTCCTAGAGAACTCTTGTTTGGCTAAAGAGAGAGACGTGCTGCCAAAACACACTATCTTGCATTCATCGGGACAAAAGCAAGAATGCCAAATTTCAAACAATTATTACTCATAGGAGAAAAAGATGTTGATTGGTTGGCAAGTTGACTCTCAAGTTTCTCAATGGCAATGTATTGGCCAATCTAAGATAATCAATTAAGCTCATAATGTGCCTCATTAACATAGGCTAGAAGCAACACATAAGAACATAAGAACATAAGAACTAGGAGCAGGAGTAGGCCGTCTGGCCCTTTGAGCCTGCTCCGCCATTCAATAAGATCATGGCTGATCCTGTTGTGGACTCAGATCCACTTACCCGCGTTCTCACCGTATCCCTTAATTCCTTTATTTGTTCAAAAAAAACTTCCTTTTCTTTAAAAACCTTTACTGAAGTAGCGTCAACTACTTCACTGGGCAAGGAATTCCATAGATTAACAACCCTCTGGGTGAAGAAATTCCTTCTCAGTTCAGTCCTAAATCTGCTCCCTCTAATCTTGAGGCTATGCCCTCTTGTCCTAGCTTCACCTGCCAGTGGAAACATCCTCTCTACTTCTATCTTATCTATTCCCTTCATAATTTTATATGTTTCTATAAGATCCCCCCTCAATCTTCTGAATTCCAATGAATATAATCCCAATCTACTCAGTCTCTCCTCATAAGCCAACTCCCTCAACTCCGGAATCAACTTAGTGAACCTCCTCTGCACCCCCTCCAGTGCCAGTACATCCTTTCTCAAGTAAGGAGACCAAAACTGCACACAGTACTCCAGGTGTGGCCTCACCAGCACCTTGTACAGCTGCAACATAACCTCTCTGCTTTTTATTTCAATCCTTTCAGCAATGAAGGACAAAATTCCATTTGCCTTCCTAATTACTTGTTGTACCTGCAGACCTACCTTCTGTGACTCATGCACAAGGACACCCAGGTCCCTCTGCATAGCAGCATGCTGCAACTTTTTACCATTTAAGTAATAATCCTTTTTACTATTACTCCTACCAAAATGTATGAATGTATGTACATTTATTTACATTGTATTCCATCTGCCAGACCTTTACCCACTCACTCAATGTATCTATGTTCCTCTGCTAAGTTTCACAATCCTCTGCACACTTTGCTTTGCCACTCATCTTAGTGTCATCTGCAAACTTTGACACCCTACACGTGGTTCCCAACTCCAAATCATCTATATAAATTATAAATAATTGCAGTCCCAACACCGATCCCTGAGGCACACCACTAGTCACTGACTGCCAGCTGGAATAGCACTCATTTATCCCCACTCTT